CAGGGCTCAGCCGGGGCTGCCGCCCACCAGCCCGCCCCGGCCCCTATTTCTAGCCCCGTCCTTGGCCGTGGCCCCGTGCCTAGCCCTGCCCCAGTTCCCGCCCTGGCCCTTGCCCCATGCCTGGCCCTGCCCCCTCCTTGCCCCTGCTCCCGCCACCACCCGCGGTTCCCTCTGTCAGCCGCTGCCTGCAGGTTTCTCCGACAAGGCGCTGCCACACGGAGGCAAAGAGAAAACAGCGCCCGCGAGGTCCTCGGACAGCCGCGCCGGCCACAGCACAGCCCCGCGGACGGCACAGGCGGGCTTGTGACTTGGTCCCAGCGCTGCCCGTGACAGGCCGGATGCTTTCCTGACGCAGCAGAAAGGGTAAGTCCTTCCATGCGTGTGCCTGCTGGGAAATGGGGGTCCCCTCCCTTGCTTGCTCCGAGGGCCCCATGGCTGAGGGCAAGCAAAACTCGGGGGCATCCGAACCCCAAGTCTTCAGGCTTGGGCCTGCACATAGGATGCCCGCCAAAGGATTTGGAAACATCTGAAGCCCCAGGTATGGCTGCATAGGTGGCGGACGGGAGGGGCTAGCAGGGCTCAGCCCCCCCAAACACCAGGGCAGCCCGGCTGCAGGCTGCTGGAGCAGGAGGGAGAGGGGTGCATCAGGATCGCAGCTGGCCCAGCATGCCAGTAAGTTTCTTTTGACTGCCAGGGCTTGGGAGAGGCAGACTGAGACCCCCACAGTGCAGGAGGGAGTGGAATAGGGGCAGGGGCAAATCATTCACCCCTGTCCTGCTCCCTACTGCACTGTGGGGATTGCCCCATGACCCAGCCGGGCCAGGGCCCCATTCACGGAGCCAGGCTGGGTCATGGGGCAATGGGAGCCTGGCAGCTCGTCCAGGGGTGTGGGCGGGTGGCTCCCGCTGCTGCACGCACTGTAGGGGAGCCAGGGAAGGGGGTACATTCCCCTCCCCTGGCTCCCCTGCACTACGCCCCTGGACAAGCTGCTGGGCTCTGATTGCCCCATGACCAGCCCATTTGGGGCCCCGTTCACGGTGAATGGGGCCCCAGCCGAGTCGTGGGACAATTGGAGCTCAGTGGCTCCTCCAGAGCTGCAGCGCGGGGTAGCAAGGTGGGGAAAAGGAACGGCTGTGGCCCCTGTGCTGCAGCCTTTGAAAGTGGCACCATGTGCCTTGCTGCCCAGCCTGCTCAGCAGCAGGACGCACATGGCACCGCACCGCTTTCAAAGGCTGCAGTGAGGCAGGGAGCAGGCAGAGTGCAGCTGTAGCCCTCCCTTGCCCCGTGGAAAGATCAGCGGGGCCTGGTGCCGTGGCTCTGAAGGAGCCACTGGACTGTTCCCAGGGTAGGGTGGGCACGAGTGTCCCAGGGGCTCCATCCCTTCTGGCCCAGCAATGCAACTGAGGCTGTCCCCTCTCGAGGTCTGGGCTTCCCCCCTGGGCAGTGCAGGACTAGGGCCAGGCTTGGTGGGGGTTGGGTGGGGACCAGTGCGGGAAGGCAGCCAGGGAGGGTGCAGAGCTGGGGGGCTGTGGATGCTGGCGCCAGACAATGACCCCTGGCATGGCGAAGGGGTGGCTGCACAGGTGCAGCGGGCCTGGGCCCCAGCCCCGATCCCTGCCCAGTCCCAGCCTCCCTCCCTCCCTCCCTCCCCCCCCACCCCTTTCCCTGCGGGGGCAGGGGGGCATGCACACATGCGTGCACGAGCTTAGCCCCCTCAAATTTTTTTCTCCCTCCTATGTGTGTCTGCAGGATGTTTGCCAGTAGTAGTAGGGCTGTGCGAAACGGAAGCATTTCATTTCGACCAGCATTTTGTCGTTTTGACAGAACAGTGTTTTGTTTCGACTTTTGTTTCAAGTCGAAACAGCTGTTCAGTTTTGTTCCATCGAAACATTTCAATGTTTTGCCATTTCAACCCTGTTCCGCCATTTCGCCCATAGGATATAATGGGGAAGGTCAAAACAGGCTATAACTTTGTCACTTCTGGCCAGATTTGGATGAAACTTACAGGAACGGTAGCCTCTTCCAAGGGCATGATGCCTGCCAAGTTTCAAGAAGGTAGGTGCAGGGGGTTCAGAGAAATTGCACCCCAAAATCTTGAGAGCCAAACTCCTGTCACTTGTATGGGTGAAGCCACAGTGGGGTCAAAACTGCAGGCTTGCTAGCCCCTGCTGAGGCAATGAAGCCTGCCAAGTTTCAATGAGATAGGTGCAGTGGGGCTCAGGGTTTTGGGGCCCTGCACCTCTGGCTGTCGACAGGCAAAACTCATGACGTGGGTGCTTGTGACACTGTCTGGCTTGGGGCGGGGTGAAACCACTGCAGGCCTGACTGCCAAGCCCTACTGCAGCCACGAAGCCTGCCAGCTCTCAATGAGATAGGTGCAGCGGGGCTCGGGTTTCTGGGGCCCTGCACCTCTGGCTGTCGACAAGCAAAACTCATGACATGGGTGCTTGTGACACTCTGTATGTGTTCAGGTACGCCCTTCCTGGCTCTGGGGCTTCTGCACAACACGGCAATGTGTCCCAGTGAGGTCTTCTCTTCACCTACAGCCTCGGTCCAGTCCACCACTGTAAACGACGGCAGGTGAAAATAACATAGCTGGCTCAACAGCAATAGCACCAGTAGCATCTAAGGTAGCCAAACGGAACTGTCACAGAGCCTTTCTTGTTATAAAGGAATTGGCAGCAAGAAGTAAAGATGTTGTTTTGGATATAGGTTACTCGTGGTATGTGTGATGGCTTATCTTGTGTTCTTATGTTTGTATGTACAAAACTGGGGGGAGAAGTGGACATGCCGGAGGGCAGGGAACAACTACAAGCAGACCTGGACAGGTTGGACATATGGGCAGAAAACAACAGAATGCAGTTCAACAAGGAGAAATGCAAAGTACTGCACCTAGGGAGGAAAAATGTCCAGCATACCTACTGCCTAGGAAATGACCTGCTTGGTGGCACAGAAGTGGAAAGGGATCTTGGAGTCCTAGTGGACTCCAAGATGAACATGAGTCGTCAGTGTGACGAAGCCATCAGAAAAGCCAATGGCACTTTATCGTGCATCAGTAGATGCATGACAAACAGATCCAAGGAGGTGATACTTCCCCTCTATCGGGCGCTGGTCAGACCACAGTTGGAATACTGCGTGCAATTTTGGGTGCTGCACTTCAAGAGGGATGTGGATAACCTGGAGAGGGTCCAGAGAAGGGCCACTCGTATGGTTAAGGGCTTGCAGGCCAAGCCCTATGAGGAGAGACTGGGGCACCTGGACCTCTTCAGCTTCCGCAAGAGAAGGTTGACAGGCGACCTTGTGGCTGCCTATAAGTTCATCACGGAGGCACAGAAGGGAATTGGTGAGGCTTTACTCACCAAGGCGCCCCTGGGGGGTTACAAGAAATAATGGCCACAAGCTAGCAGAGAGCAGATTTAGACTAGACATTAGGAAGAACTTCTTCACAGTTAGAGTGGCCAAGGTCTGGAATGGGCTCCCAAGGGAGGTGGTGCTC